CCCCCCCAAATATCACTGAGACAATGACAACGATTCAGTTCAAAGACAATAAACCAGACCAGTCTCAGAAAAGACATTGCAAAATTTTACGGAAGACGGAAATGGAAGCAGAACAACCCCCCACTCCCACATAAACACGCTCCTTTTTTCAACTTTCCACAAAACATCATAAGTATGATCTCACTATAAATAAGTGAAATAGAATACAATCTCATAGATAAAATTTTTCTTGTTTTTTGCTCTCGTATCATCTCTATACCCTCACCCTCGACTCTTCTCAAAGTCCTGCACGTTCTAAAACACAAACTATCACTATCGCCCAGGCAATCGCTCCGAGCACCAAATGACAGCCCCAACACCACATGTTGATCCGACACAACTTTTCTGACGACTTCATTAACAATGAATGACATATTATGTTATCATGCGAAACGTTTAAGTGTCTTGTTTATCGGGAAGCTCCAAGATTGGGAAGCTGGCTTGTCGCTTTTTTTTCACACTAATCAATTATGATAGGCCCATACTGCTGTTGGGGATGTGACTTATGCACACGTGCACTAACAAAACTATACACCTCTTATCTTAGTCAGGTTTTTTATACCCGGGTTTGTTTGAGTAAAGAGACCCACACCAACACAATGACGATCATTAAGTGGAGGAGGGATGGGGAGTACAGTAAAATAGACAGAACCAACAGAGGGACGGGGCTCTCGTGGCATAGAGGTTAAAGTGTTGGCCTTTCATTCAAAGGTCCCGGGTTCGAATCCGGGTAGCGACCGAAAAATTTTCTTCTCTAAATTTGTCTCCTTTCCTGCTCTCTAGCAAAGCCCTGTCGTCTGCTTTCGTCTCCTCTTTCTGCCTCCGCCCCCGCACCTCCTTTGCCCCCAACTCAGGGTTCCTGATTCTTTCTGCAGCCTTTCTACTGCTACTCCTTTGGCTTCTTCCTACTGCTGTCTTTCAGCCACACCCCTGATCTTCTGGTAGGAGAGATCTACATCTAGCCTTCTCGAACAAGGGCCAAAAATATCGGAGGGCCCGCGTGCAAGTTGTACACGTTAAAGATCCCTGGTGGTCTAAAATCGAAAAGAGTAGGCTTCGGCCGCCACCCGGGCAAAATTCGAAATTTCCTACCAACTGAAAAAGTTATATGTGTCCCGCGTGCTCATATTATGACCGTATACAGTTGCGAGCGCCGTAAAACACTTACAAAAACAAACAACAGATGGGCAAGGAAGAAGTTAGACCAGCTCTACTCTCTGGTTATACCTACCAGTGCCTCTCCCCTCCTCTAAAAAAAATCACGAGATTAGACACGATTACGCGAACGTAATGTATTAATCTCGTGAGTAAACCTTATTCACAGAATTCTCAAAGCAGAAAAGAATGTGAACTGTAGACCATGTGCCAGATTCATTATCCTGAAATATACGCTAGGTCTAGAGTAAACACCTACGCATGACAAGCAGACAC